TGTACATGTATCAGGGTGTTCTGCGAACAATTATAATACCCAGACTTGATAGTGAATTTTAATGGAGTCGCTTGCTTGTGCACTCGACTCGCTTTATGGCCTTACATGTAATTAAATAACGCAAGTGGGCGTGTGCAATTTGAGTAATTAAAATTAGTATGTACCGTGAAATAGTGCAACATTGAATCCACCTTAGATAAGGAATTTGTATATAAGACATTCATAAGTAATATCTTGAAGTTCAGATTGAGAGAGATTAAAGGAGGCTTAGGAGGACGGACGCGAGCCATGGGAGATTGTTCAGAAGTTAGAGACTTCACGTAGATTATGTAGCTAGCGAGCGTCAACAAATAAAGCATTAAACAGATCATCATGTGTCCTTGGGTTTTCTTTGAGCGACTTTACGTAAATCTGACACGAATCATGGAATTGCGGATTGCGATTTGGGCGTTACAAAAAGATGTCATTACATAAGTATAAAAACTTTTCATTACATAATTGGCCAGCTCGCCAGGACACTTTTCATTAGTAGGGAAAAAACGACTAGGCGTCCATTGTAAACTGAGTGCGGTATATAAGAACTGAACTTTTTACTTTTATCTAAAATGTATGACTTTCGAAAAGTATCGTTTACGTTTTCTTTTCTTAATCCCTTTTCATCTTTCTTTTAATTTCTTTAATTTCTTTCTTCTTTTGTTTCTTTTAAACATTCTTTCACGTTTTCTGCCTTTTTTCGTCTTTTCCCGTTGCCTCTTTTGCTTTCTCTTTTTCTCCGCACTTTAAAATTGCTCTTACCTCATCCCTGGTGTGTACTCCTCTCTAGCACTAGTGATTTTGATTTTACTGTTAGATGGCGCTGTAGGCGTAGGGCATGTCACACGGATCAACTCACAACTGCAAAGAAGAAACGATTTTAAGCTCAGAAAATGATTTTTTAAATTTAGATATGATTTTATTTTTATGTAGGTACTTTAATAGTACCGTGCACTGATTGTTCGCCTCTTTAACTCTTATGACGCTTGTATAATCGGCAGTGATTTAGGATCATTTCGGAAATACTGCAATTATTTTTATCTCAATTCAGCCAGTGCAAATCTTGTAAATCAAAGATACACCTATCCAATAATTTCAAAAATGCCCTATTGCAGCTTTGGATAATTTATGTATATGTTATTGTAAATAGCACAAAAAAACATTGCATATAATCGTTAGAATGGGTGATTATCCAGTATATTTTTTCTTACTGTGGTTGCTGTCCGCTCCACACACCGTCGTTACAAGTGCGCTCTGAAGGACCAACTAATCGGTATCCTTGGAAACAGGTGTACGTAACCTTTGACCCCTGAGCCTGCGCAGTATTCGCTGACACCCGACCATTGGGAGGGTTGGGTAAAGCCGGACAAGTGATGGCGACGGTTGTTGCTAAAAAAATATATTAAGTTTTTAACTTTCATACTGGTCTTGGACGTTTTAATGATTTTAAATAAAATTCAATTTAAAATGCAATAATAGCAATACCGTTCAATGCTAATTATTGTTCTCTCGTTCGCTCTTCGTATAATCTCTTTCACAATCTCTCTTTCTCTCTCTCTCTCTCTCTCTCTCATCCATCATACAAGCACGAATGAAGTTGTCCTATTTACCGATTGTAGTGGTAGAAGTAGAAGTAGTAGTAGGCCTAGTTGTTGTAGGAGGAGCGGAACCGATTTCACAGTGAATGCCAGTAAAACCATCTCTGCAGAAACAGCTGCCGTCAAAAGTATTACAGGTGCCCCCGTTCTGGCATTGACAAACTGAAAAGAAACAAAATAATCTTGAAAAACTTCACGCTTTGAGTATAGCATTGTTTTGAAAAACATCTTCTTGGTAGTTGACAAAATTGTGATCAAGTGACCTTGGGGGTTAGGAATTGAAAATTATTTTCAGGCATACAACACAAATAAAATGCTCCCTATGTCCATCATGATTTAGTGGGTTAAAAATTGTGTACCTTCGAATCCTCATTTCTTATTTATCTAATTGTCTGCGTATTTATATATACATACAATATGTAAAATGAGCAGTATAGAGAGCTGTAAAATGTATCCGTTAGCACTTTTTTGCTCTTTAAATAAATTATTATTATTATTATTATTATTATTATTATTATTTTAAAGAATTCTTTAAGGACGAAAAACTCCCATTTAAATCTTAACCGTGCGTAAGAATAAGTCTACTCAGAAAATGCCACCCTGGGTTACTGAAAGGCTCATAAAACAACATTATGGCTGTAAACTTAAATAGCACGTTGCCTGAAATGTGATAACCTTAACTCATTTAACCTTGGCCTACTTTCGTACTTTATGTCCGGAAAACGGTTCTTTTGTTTTTCTTTTCAACCGTTTGTGTTTAGAAATGTCAACGAACATGGAAAAAGACGAGTGAGCTTTATCGGGAAACCCGGAAAGGGGAGCGTTCGGTTAAGCCCTTTTACACTGGAGGGCGTCCTTTCTGCGTCCCTCGTGGGACCATGAAACTTGCATCGCTGTGGTCGTAGAAAGGAGGCACAAGCATCGCTTTAGTTGCAGAATCAAAGCTCAATGATCGGCCAGTTGGGAAAAATCTTATAACGTTGTCCCAAAGTTTAGAACATAATGTTTCCGCAGCATTACGAATTTTTAGACAGCTGAGCTCAATAGATTCAACAGTATTTAATGTGTACATTTAAAGGTTTGTCTGCGTGCCATAAGCAAAATGACAAGTTTAATTGTTTCCTCATTTGTTTTTTAAAACTATTTTCTACTCTATTCCTTATTCTTTATCAATTGATTATCTGATTATTGTCGAAAAGTGTAATCAAAATTATCAAGCCTCGTGAGGGGGCGTGGCTAATCAACGTACCTCCCCTACACTCCGTAGTGGCACCAAACCTTCCGGGGGGACAGGAGACACAGCTCTCTCCCTGATTGGGGCTACACGTGGCACAGAATTCTCTTTTCTGGCACTCCGCCTCGCTGCTAAAGCTATCCTTGTCACATATCTTGCAGTACGGTTTCCAACGGTAGAAATGCACACAACTGAAATGATAAAAGAAAAGTTTTTTTTAGTTTCTCGTAAAAGCCTATGTAGGTTATTGAAATGGAGATAATAACCCTACGTATATATGGTGCTGCAAAAATTCTCAATAGACGTTTTTTCATTTCGGAGCCATTCTTTGTTTGTTTTTCTCAAGTTGATTTTTCCATGAAGCCTAGCGGTAGGTCTGCTACTTCAGCTGGTCTGTGATTTTTTTCTTGTCATATTTTTGTCAACAACAATTGTCACGTAAATGAAGGAGTGGGTCCGTTTTTAAAAAGAATTGTTAATCGAAAGTGCACTCGTTCTCTTATCTTTCTCCCTTAAGTTGTTTTCCTACTTCGTGTGCGTTTGCAATTGCTGTATGTATGTACTTCTTATGACTAAAAGCTTTCAACACAACCAATTATTTTTTGTTCTTTCCCCTGTTCTCTTTTTGGTGTCATAAAGAAATAACGATGTCTGCGAAGTTAATTGAGAATAAAAGAAGACCTGTGTCATGTCTGCATATTTCACTTTGCGGTATACAAAGACTCTTGTCTGTCAAAATGCAAGGAAATAGACAAAAATTACGATTGCTTGAGCATAATCATTTACGTGTTAAGTAAAAAGCGATGGATATGTAAGCCACAGGTCCATTTAGGAATAGGGAAAATGCATGTAATAAACGGTGTAAGTTCCTCGTTACCAATTAGGAACGTAAGTCGTGTAACTTTGCGGTTGGCCATAAAAAGACATTTCATAGCTTTGTATTTTAATTAATTTTTTTTTTGCCTTTTTGCAATTGTCTTTCATTTATGTAAATTCTCGCAACTTATTATTTGTGTCGCCAATAAAAAATTTTTGCAGTATACCCAAACAGGATATTCAATAACTTAAGGCAAATTTGCATTACGTTAACTTTATCGAAACCATGTACGAGGCGCATTTAGCTTGAAGGTCTAATACACTTAAGCTAAAGTGCGCGTGTCACTTCACAATCCAAGGTTTGTTGCTGCGGATTTGTCAATTTGCGAATTAAAACTGTAATGTTTCGGATTTTTGGACCAAACCCGACATCAAATTAATTACCAGGCTACAAAATTTTGTATACTATTTGATGATAATTGTAAATACGAAGTAAAGGAACAACTTCGATGAGTTGCGGTGAATTTATGGATGACGCACTGGTCAATTGTCCGTGCGCACGCGCGCGTGCGTGTTTGCGTGTTGTCAGTGCAGTCTTCTCTAGATGTGTTTTATGCGCGCGTGGATATGTGTGAAAGTGTGTATTTGTGGGGGTTTGTGTGTATGAGAGACAGAATAGATGAGAGAGAGAGAGAGAGAGAGAGAGAGAGTTCGTGAGTGTGCCCAGGCGTGTGTTTACTCGACAACTTCAAAAACCCAGTTCAAAGTGGGGGTGAAGACAGCAATAAAACGGTGACTTACGCTTTGATATTCACTTGAATAGTTGCCCCGTTTTGGCCACAAGAGCAGGTTATGTGCTCGTCCGGGCAAACTCCTCCCAATCCAAACCCCACACTTGGTCCTATGGCTTGATACAAGTACAGCACAAATATCAAGACACCGCAGGCTTTCGGCATGTTGCGTTCTGAAAAGAATATGACAGAAAACTGACATAAGATGAAAATGTAGAAATACAAGAAAAACGGCTAACTGAGACATCTGTGATTCATGATTTTAAAAAGAAATGTGTTTAGTAGCATAGAACATGATGTATCGAGTAAAAAAATATGTATACGTAGACTTTGTTTGTACTCTCTTACTCTCTCTCTCCTTTCTACCATCTATCACCGATATTTTAATTATAATCACTGAATAAACCTGAGACAGTCAAAGTTTATAAAATTACCATCTCTTTATAAATAACATATATAGATGTAAGATGTAAAACTGTTTGAGATGAAAATACCTTTCGTGATATGTCAATTTTCCCCTTTCTCTTGTTTATTTCAGTTTAAATTTCTGTCTCCGTCTTGGTCCCGTTACTTACTGCCAGTTTCCGACAGCACGTTTGGCTTTTTTATGCCTTACAAGCGTAAATCCGCTTCAAGAAGATTAAACTCGCCTGTTTGACGTCGATTATTTTAACTGTAGCCTATATACTATACGACGCGGAAGTAGGGAGAGTTGGCTGCTATTTATAAACGCTTAGTTTTAAAGATCCGTGTAAGTGGTGGTTGCCATGTGAAAGCACTTAAAAACCAGAGCGATTTTGCTGCAAGCGAAATTCAGTAGGTTAAAACAAAGTGAGAAATATATTCATTTTTGCGCTCCTGGCGTTTGAGCAAAAGAGGTGAACTCGCTCAGTCATTTCAAAACCCAATGCCTATTCACAGCTTTGCTATCGCGCCGTTGAAAATGGGACTACTCTATTTAAAACTATTCAATTTTAGAACAATTAGGCCTATATTAAAATTTATTTTTATATTTGATAAACTTGAAAAACATGAAAAGATAAACGTTGGCAATACCCGCTTAAAAAGGAGTGTAAAAAGGTTTGGTAGCAGAAACCAAGCACCATAATTCTAACGGATTGAAATTTAAAAGTCAAACCTTTGTAATGCGGAGGTTGATGCCAAACTGTTTAATCCATTTCGATAAATACCAAACTGTTTCGAAATGGGGTCCGTCCTTGGATTAAATCATCAGACGTAAGCGAGGAGCGGACGCCTACGCACCAAAAATCACCGTGACTCGTAGTTGGGAATGGCGTCGCCTGGAGCAAGGCTGAGCCACTCGTCACCGTTTGTTGACGGGCGTTCTCAAGGTGAACCTTTTCTCTATAAATATAGTCGCTGGTGCTGTTATACCACTATACGTTTCATGGTGATCTTTTGCGAAAAACAATGACAAATTTTTTTGGGAATTGCTTATAAATAAAAGCACTGTGACTTATGTTAGGACTAGGGCAAAACCAGCATTAAGTTCAATATGACGCTCATGGTCAGGTACATTGAGGCGGGGAGGGGGGGGGGGAGGCCCAAGTCCTTCCCCCACCTTTTGTAGTTTTTTTCTTTTTAATTTTTTTCATGGAACAGAATACAAGAAGACCTGTACAGGGTGTATGAAGATGAAGCTAAATGAACCTCTTCAGCTTTAAAAAAACTTACAATAAAATTACTGAAAAGAAAAGTAGAAATAAGGAAAAGAAAGTAATAATTTGTATGCCGCATAATTGTGTACTTTGATTCATTTTGTAAACTGAAGGCAACTAGAGAGTTTTTTAATAACATTATATTAATGCCAGGACCTGCTCCATCCACTATTAGCATAAAATGAAATTAACAAAGATTGACTTCAGACTTCCGTTGCTAGGACACTTTTTAAAGGCTAAGGCCAATTTGAGCTCACTCAAGAAATCAAGTCGTGTAAATATATCAGTTACCCATTCTTCTATTTGCGAGAGTTCTCTTTATTTTGACTGAGAATTCCATTTATGTTTCAAATTATCCCGTCTGTGATATACTTCTCTGCACTGGACCTACGGCCACGTTGTTGGCTTTGTTTACATATATTCTCCATACTGACAGTGTTCACAAGCGGCCATCAATAAGGAAGTAACTGTCAGTTAAGACTGCAGTATTTGGTAGTCCGCTATTTGATATAAATGGGAAAATTTACTTGGTCTGTTAAAAATCGGTTATTATAGTCCCTGGATATTGGACGTGACGAGTCACACACTTATGACTAACGGGCCTTTTGTGGAGGCAATAATTGAAGTCCGTTTTTCCCGTACAAAAGAAAATATATATCAATTCGACACCCAACGAATCTGTAGCTTTTATTTTGCGGTTGATTTCATGGGGATTTCACTTACAACATAATGAACAGGATTCACGAAAACTTCATCAACCGCATAACAAGTTTAAGCAGACAGGCGACTGTCTAAGGATAAGTATTAAAACAGGACAAACGTAGTGAGTAATATTTTTAAGTGATGAGGATAGAGACAATGCGGCTGCCCAGTTCATACTAGAACAAATACGCGCGAATGGGCTAAAATTATATGCTGACACGTTTAGAGATTAAATTTAACTTCATAATAGTCCACGCGTTTTACCTAAAATCTGCAATGCACCGTCGTGGTTATAATTAACGTTTGGAGAGATCGCTGCCACCCGTGTGACATCATAAATATATAAATTAACATTTAACGTGATTTTTTTGGTCGTGCTGAGTCCTCACGTCAAGTCAATAAGACAAGGATTTGTGGCTTGCTTTCAACCCTGAAGTTAATAATTATATAGTGCAGGTGGGTTTTCAGACTGGTAAAACCAAGGCGAGGTAGGTAAATAGTGATAACGCACAGTCCTATTTTAGGGTGAACCACAAGCATCCTTAATATAATTATCATCGATTACGTAATATTTTCTTAGAAAATGTCATAGTATTTTTTTATAAGAAAGAATCTTACTGAGGCATGAGCTGACCTCCCTCACTTATAAGAGCAAATGCGCGGAATTAATAAGCGTATATACCTAAATCATATATTCGATTGTGGTAATAAGGACTAAGTTTTTTTTGCCTGAGCTGACGCCAGACTCAGAGGCTCCAGAAAGGCATGACCAATAGCTTAAAGGGATAATAACTCTTCGTTTCGGCCAAAAAATGAATTTTCCTGGAGTAAACAACAATTTTCCCATACTTACCAATGGTTAATGAATCCATTTTTACATTAAAAGTTAGTCCCTGGTTTTTTTCTAAAAAGTTTGGTTTTTTGTTAAAATCTCTTAAGAGATTTTAACAGAGTATAGCCATCAATGGAGGTCACGTGGTCTAAAGACAAGCTCAGATATCAGAATAATAGTTATAACTGCCGTTTTTCTGGTAAAACAGAATATATTATATTTCTATGAGTTATTCACAATGTTTTTATTGTGAAATATTGATCTCATACGAAGAGTTATTATCCCTTTAAACAGTGCTGTAGCCCCAAAAACACTTATCTGCGAAAACTGACCCTTGTCGGACTGCATCAATTGTGTAATTTTAACTAAGGAATTCACTTCGTACCTGTATCTGTACCTGTCAACCACACTATCTAGAAATACCGGAGGTTCGATATTCAGCCAGTAACGTACATAAAAAATATTAACAGTTCGTTAGTAATAAGTCTCCAATCTTGGACACATTCATCAATCACAGCAATTACTTGCCATCTCAAGCCGCAACCCGGGCTCCTTTTCATTCCGGTTTTCTAGAGTGAAAGGAAGAGAACTTGGCCCTACGGTTAGAGGAGAGGGGATTGAAAGCATCTGACGTGAAAATGAAGATAATGGTGGTGTGTATGTGTGTGTGTGTGTTTGGGGGGGGGGGGGGGGGGGGTTAGAGTGTTTAAATTGGCGGGGGGGCGGGTTT